AAATATATATATATATATATAATCAGGTTTTTATTGCACAAGTTACAAAGTTTTTTACAATATCTTATCATTATTTCATTTACAAATATAAAAAAATATTAAAAGTATATTCAAGGGGGAGCAAAACACAGTTTAATGTTAACTTATAGAAATTGTATTGTTAATTCAAAAATACTAGGTGCTAATTAAAAAAAATAAAGGTAACATTATAAAAGAATAAAAAAGAAATGAATTTGATTATTTTTATATTGCCATGTATAATCAATCAAAAACAGATCAACTTTTGTTTAAAGTATATTTTTGTCAGGTTATCACAAGTACTTAAAAAATCGTGACTTGAGTTTATGTGGGACACCCTTTATATATATATATATGTACATATGTACGTACGATATTCCGTAGATTACACAAATCAACAACACAACGTAACGCCATCCACCACATTTATTTTCTTTTGCAATGATCCGAGAACGAAGCGAATTAGAATCTCGTTAAATACGAAGGATCTTTCCATTAGAAATAATAAATAAAAAAAAAAGAATCTTATATAAATATTATTATAATATATGTGAGATAATAATGATATAAGAACATATATTGAACAACGTCTTGAATACTTTTCAAATGATTTTAAATCTCGCCTACGTGCGATTTCCTTATTTCAATGTAAATTAGTGAACGGGGGAAAAATCATTTCAAATCCTTTTATCTAGAGCGAACTGTTTTAGTAAGTAACGGTAAATAAACATAAATTTACATACGTCTACGTAAAAAAGAGAATTACAAAAAAAAGAAAAAGAATAATAATAATAATATACCGTTTTAGCAAACACAACATCGCAAAGTGAAATTCGATTGGTGTGATTCGACATTTGGAGATATTTATTACTAAACGCGTAGGTTTTGTTAAATATATTATTTTTATGGGATATGGTAAATACTTTTATAGAAAACGAAAAAAAAAAAAAAAATAAATAAGATAAGAAGAAGAAGAATCAATTCTACAAAAATTCGTTAAATCTAACGGATAATTATTTTCTTTCATACTATTATAGATAAATAGATAGATTAACTGGTTGCATAGACATTGAAGATGAAATCACTATAATTATGCGAGTTTCGAGGCTGCGATCGGTGCACGGTCACGATCAGCGATCACGTACAAGCGTGATCGAGAACTATGCGTAAAGAGGTGATCTCCTTGTTAAAACACGTGGGTAGAAATCTAACGTATTATATATATGTATATATATGTATATATATATATATAACCATGACGTTATAATATGATCATTTTTCCTATATTAAAACAAAACAAAAAAGATACGAGAACGAGAACTAGAACAGGTAGTGTGTTTGTAATTTAAAATAACGCGCCACGTAAATTCGATTCCTGATTGGTGGACCAATTTTTGGTAGGAAATTTAAATTGTTGCGAAATGAATTAAGGGGTGGGGATTGGATAGGGTTGATTCATTTTTGTATAGTAATTATCTTCGATCTCATGGAAATATTTTTCATTTTTTCTAATAATACGAAAATAAATATAAATGCATTGTTAATATAAATTAATATTAAAATAATTATATAATATAATATACATATATAAATTATATATTATATATGTG